AAAACTCAGAGAAAAAAGTACTTTCTAATCTTTTGGATTGTGCTTTAGAATTGCTAGCAGCGCTATGAACTAGTTATGAGTTGGAATAATATTCTCTGTACTGACATGCAAATGAACTCACTAAGCAACCACTTTGCTTTTGAGATTTACATAATGCAACACCAAAAGCCACTTTAAATTAATATTAATTACTTGATTCTAAAGCAAGAAAGTTCAGTGTTAAGCTGCTTCTCGTCCCATAGTTCATCACATCTATGCGTGGGACGATTGATACCCAAGGAACAAAAATATCGTATGTAGAAACGATATCCAGCCTCTGTACCTTAGAAGGGTGTAGCTTAGTACCCTCCGATGGCTGGGATGTGAAGTGGCATATCCCTTTTATACAGAGTAGAATTCAGTCCCTTTATCAGAATTCACATTTTCTCAGAGTCAGTGTAGTACTGTAAACTCTTGATTATGCACACATCCATTTTGTGACTTATTCTTGGCAAATTTTCATTTTAAATTACCCCTTCCCTTGCCAATCAGCATAAGAGATTCTGAATTACATTTTCATGCCAAAAAACTGGTGTGTGTTTAAGTATACTAGCCTAAATAAAACAATGATAACTAGAAGACACATTTTCCACTAAAAATTACATATATTATATTTCAGCGCATGTGAATTATTTTTGTATTAAGTAATACTTCGAGAACTTGCATGTTCCAGATCATTGCCATTGTGTTCTTATCACAGAGAAAATCTAGCAAAAATATCATATATTACATATATTGTATATATACATATATACGTATTGTAGAGAAGAATCTACCTACCAAAAATACTATACACATATATGTGTATACAGTCATGTGTAGCTTCGTGTCCACGACAAGTTCTGTGAAACAGGATGTTATGTGATTTGGACATTGTCTAAACACTTGGGTGGGAGGGGGCTGCTCTGTGGCCTGTGGCCCAGGCAGCTCCGGCAGCAGGCCCCCTCAGGTGAGCGCTCTACCCGGTGAAGGTCAACGCTGGGAGGCTCAGGGCTGGGAGGCTCAGGGCTTGGGCCAGGGCAGGAGGGGAGCTGTCTCAGTGACCTGGCGCCTCCGCCCTGGCTGGACCCCATGATGCCTGCGGACCTTGGGCGTTCCAGAGCAGGATTGGGTGCCCACTTCTCCCAGCGGGAAGGGTGCTTGTTCCACAGGTGGGGGGCAGTAGAACAGGCTTACTGCCGAGTGGGGTGGTGGGCATCCCCTGGAATGGCGCTCTGGACCACAGGCATGTATGCGGTTGGACATTGCCCAAAAGGACATTAGGCATGTATATGTTTATGTATGCATATATATGTGTATATATTATTATATATGTATGCATATATATGTATATATATAATATACATATACGTATATACTTATATATGTGTCTATATATATAAATATATGTGTGTATATATATGGGTGTATAAGTATACACACACACATGTATATAACCAACACACACTCAAAAACACTACTCTCATTATATCAAGTATTAACTATTGGTTAATTCTTTCTCTTTTGGAGAAGCGATATTACGACTCATTGGACCTCTTGAGTTTCTCAAAACACTGTCTCATCCATTATACTAATACTAACTTCCTTAACACCAAGGTGATTTGCAGCACAAAGGGACCAATTGTGCGTTGTGTGGTAACATATTTAATTGGAAAATTAAGATTTTCCACCAGGGCTCCTTCAGAGCACCTTAAGTAGAGTATGCCTAAGGGACATTGCAGGTGTTGGAGCAGGACCTGATTAAGTGTGTTTGGTAAGGGGTAGTTGCTCACATGGCTGCTACAATGACGCTGACAACAGGACCTTTTTTTGTTTTTCCTAGCCTATTGGCTCACAAGCATCTTTAGAACTTTCTAATGTATGAAGGAACAAAAACCACTAGAGGTAGTATGCCAATTCTGGGTAAATGTGAAAGATTAATGAGAACATACTATTCAGGTCTTTTGATGTCAATAAGTGAGCCCCGAACATTATGAAAAATGGCCATTTTTCAAAGAGAATTCTCAGTAAACTTTTAGTGCACATAAACTCTTAAATCTCACTTCGTTTTTTTTTTAATTCAAGATTTGCTTAATTTTTTTAGCATATTTCAGATTTATCATTATCTGTTCTATTTCTCTATTTCAGATGTAAGTAAGTAGAAAAAGGAAAAATAAAAATAAGACAATATATAGCCTTGATAACAGAAAATCCAAATTATTTCACCTTATCTTAAATCTCACAAAACATATATGGAAATTCATCTAAAGAAAACGAAAAGATAGCTATCTAGGTAGCTTCATTTAAAAAAAAATATGTTTTATCAATGTGCCTTAAGAAATTGCTATTAATAAATACAACAACTTGAGTGTGACATATAATATATAGTTAAATTATTACAGTAATTTTCTATACATTTTGTCAAAGTACCTTACCTGGTAGCTAACAGTGCTGTATACAATTGCATTGTCTCTGTAATGAATGAATTCTTTAGCAAGCGGTCCAGTGTCGTGGCATTGAATATTCCTTTGCCGTTCACATGAACGACATATAACTTCAAAGTATGGTCAACTTTTCGGAGAAGTGGAGAAAAGAATGAATGAAGGGCTACCACATTTGAATATCTTTCACAGTTGTTTTCAAAGTTGGCAAGTTTATTAGTTTAGAACGGGAATCTCATTCCGTATCCAAATAGCGTATCTTAAATGGTAAGTTTGGGCTTTTAATGGAAACCTTATTTTATTTTAGTTTAGAACAAAGTTTTAAAAAGCTAAGTGTGTCCGTAAATCAGAGGAAATGCCTCTGGTATTTCAAATTTGCAATTTCATTGCATCTAACTTTGACTTGTTTCATTACCGTCAGTGGCATATTTTGATTTTAGTGTTTATCCATCTAACTGTGACAATATTAAACTTCAGCAGCAAACATTCCAGACAATGGTAGTTCAAGGTAACTGTTTATACCAGAACAAGGCATACATTTTGGAAAACTTTGTGCAAAAAGAAGTCTGTAAGCTACTCATATGTATTTGGGAGAATATAGTGTTTATATAAGATACTACCTTTTAAGTAAGTTGTAAAATTTAAAGTATTCATTAATGTTTTAAGATAAGAAAAATAAAAATTGAATAAAGTTGAAGTTGAGAGAAGCCATAATTCTATTTGTTTGAAATTTCACAGTCTGAATGTGTACAACAATATAATTAGTTTAAAAAGAAAATTTCAAATTGTATAGAGTTGAAAAATGATTCTACATACATTTGAAGGAGGCTGTTCAGTATGAACTTCCTCACCCAATGTTTCTTATATCCTTCTTTGCCCCTTTCCCTCCTCAGCCTTTAAAAATTTATATGACTATTTAACATAAGATCACATGACTAACAAGAATCCTAAAGAGGACATCTACCTCAGGTAAAACATGGAACAACTTAGAAAGATTCACGTTTGACCTCTATGTTCATAAAAATATCCATTTCTTTTAACAACCAGGCTCAGGTATTAGGGCTGTATTGTAAATAAAATGAAAAATCTCTACCCAAGTGGACATTATTTTAAATCATAAAATCTAAAGATAAAGCTTATCCTAGTAACTCAGTGCAACTACAATATAATATTTTGTAATATAAAATATGTAAATATTTAATCTTAATTTAAGTACTAATTAATTGCTGAAAAGCATAGCCCTGGTCTGTTGAACAATACTTATTCCATATGAAATAGCTTTACATTTTACCCATAATATAGCTAATACAGTTTTTAGACAGATGTAGATGTCTAGTTGCAATCTGAGCTCTCTCCCTGGAATATAAAGCAAAGTTTCACTCCCCACCCTATGTTTTTCCAGCCATTATTTATACTTAATCTAATGTCACCGAATAATCAGTAGGCTAAATGAAAGACCATAATTCTATTTATCAGACAAATCATCACTCCTGTCAAAAAAAGTCATGAATAAGTAATAACAAATACCAGGAGCCTCAGCTAACTTCTAACATTTAATAATTGCTCACTAAGAGAAGGCTGTTCAGTGGTTTTTTTTTTTTTTGTTGTTGTTGTTTTTTACTGAATTCTTTCTCCATACACACTCAGAGCACACTGCCAATTGACAAAAGGAACACAGCTTCAAAAGAAAATCCCCTAAGTAGAGAAAGGCTCTCTGTAAAGCATGCAAGAGGTTCAACATTGCTGAAATAGCGAGACAATTTCTCACCCACGCTTCCCACTTCCGTTCAATTACCAACAGCAGCAGCGACTCGAATACAAGCTAATACTGTACTGTTAAATCAGAGCTTCCATTTACGTGCCCCTCTAACCTGAGGGGGCAGGGAGGGGATGGCATTAACTAGTCAACGGCAGAACAAGCGGCCCCCAACTTGGAAATGCACATGACCTTCTCAGAGACTGAGTTTCACAAGTTTTATTTGAATCGATGCATGTCAGCACCTCTAAATGAAGCCGGCGTGATACAAACGCCGCTACCCCTATCACCCCACCGCGCGTGTGAAAACAGACCCGCACTTCGCAGTCTATGCTTTAGATGCCGGAGGTTATGTTAACCAGAGATTAAACCATTCAGACGTGTTTTTTTTCCCCCCAGATTTTATTATTTTTAAGCAACTTGTTGGTTGATTTATTTAATGCCAATTGCTAACATATTTGGGGGTTGCACTGAATGATTCCTGTCCCTTGAGCCATCCTGCGAGTGTTGCTTTACAAATATTTATATTTATAAAGCATGATATGGCATGATGACACTTCACAAAAAAGCGAAGCCTTCAACTTCCCTTTAGAATTCAAAGCATAATCACCAAAAGATGCTCTCGTAATAATAATAACAGCATTTAGTAAAATAACTATTGCAAGCATTGCCAAAAGTCCTGTTTCAAATTATAAAAATAAGCATAACTCGTCTTAAGATTTTTGCATGGCAGTTGGCATTGCTTCCACACTTTAAATCATATATAACAATATTCTTTTTCTTACCTTCTTTTAACAGTCAGAAAAGTCCCCCAGAAAGATTCCTACAGGGTGTGGATAGAAAAATCACAGTTTGAAAAACAAAACACACAACTAAAAAGATCGTCTTTGCTGGGAAAAGAGCAAACTAGTTTGGTCTCAAACTATGGAAATTTCCAAAGTCACGCCTGAATGGGCGCCCAGGTGACCAGCAGAAGACTCTCCCAGGTGCGATGCCACACTCCTTTGTTAAGTTGATACGAGTCCTGCGGGGGAAGCGGGTCCCGCAGGACACAGGGTGCACAGGCCGTTGCCTGGAGGTGCCGGAGCGCCGGTCGGCCGCCGTCCCGGGTCAGCACCCACAGCTCCCGGACAGCACCAGCTCCGCTCGCCTCCAGCGCGTCTCAGCCACTGAACCGGGCTGATTCTCGCGCCTCCTCCCTAAGCCCGAGCGGCTGCCACTCAACCGGGAGCGCCCGCCCCCGCCAGTGACGTAACTGTTTTGCATATCAACTCCCCGAGAAGTGCGGGGCGGCCCTCTGGGCTGGGCTCCCGCCGGGGTCAGCTGCCAAGGCCCGGCGACCGGATCCAGGCTCATGATCTGCGTGGGCGTCATGGGAATTGAAGCTGCACTGGCCTCCAGGCCTGCGGGAACTGAGCGCCTTGGCGTTGCACGAGCCTGTGCCTTGCGGGGACTGCGTTTCTGTGCACGCTAAGGAGCTCTGGCTGCACAGCTCCGGGGGGAAGACGGGGTGCAGGGAGGGGGCAGGGGAGATCCGAGGGCGACGGTGGGAGGCGGGTGCGGAGGGGTGGGGAACGCAACGAGTCCTCTCCACCGTGATGGTAAAATATGCAATCCTTTTGTCTTTCTAGCCCAACTTTCCGCTTGCTCCCCGCGGTATGTTTACAGGAAAGGATGTGTGTTTAGTGTCCCTGTTCCCTCCTCTCGGTCCACGGAGCTGCTGGGGGGAGTCGTTGCAGCAGAAACTTGCTCTGGAGGAAAAAAAAAAAAAAAAATGCATTGAGCACCGGGCGAAAATGTGAACGCGTGCAATGCTTATCATCATTGGTAAACAGAATCTTGTTAATGAACGCCGCACAGTATCTATCAGCTTCATATGCATTCCTGTAGAATATGCGCCCTCGCCTCGTCATTTTCTTGATTTAAATACATTGTCAAGCTGTCTGGAGTTGGAGATTTCAGGGTTAGCACTATCATTTAATCATAAAATAAGGGAAAGTTCTCACTTTCCACTTCCGCTGCCCAAATCCCGAAGGTTATGCAATATTTATTATGTCTAATATATCAATTTTTCTATGAAAGATGGTATATGCCGGAAGCATTTCATAGCGTTTAGCAATTCTCTCAGTATATGTGATATTTCTTGTCCCCATGAAGCTCTAAAGCCCTTAACAGCAAGAGAAGTGGGTAAGCCACGCCAAATTCCCACCTGCTTAAACAAAATCTTCCAATGAACTGAAACCATCAAGCGTCCAGAAGGCTCATTTATTCACATGCTGTCCACAGTTCCTTCCTACAGCCACCACTACTACTTATTTGTACGAAGAAATGAGCATATAAAACTAAGCCTACATTTTCTTCATTTGATGTAACAGTTATCACTAAAAATTGTTCATTCAAGAAATTTCATATCATTTACCACATTGTTTTCCTTTAGAATGCCTACATATTGAGATGTGCTATTGTATCCCAAGCATCTAATTTTGTAATGACTCTTTTCCCAGAGTCTGAGCAAATGTACAAAATGTTTATTTGCCTATCAAAGAAAATGATCAATGAATTTGATTTTCTGCAATGTTTCAGGAATTATTTCAGGAGGCTTAGTCACTTTTGAGGTCACATACACCAAAATTCCTTCTTTATAGTTATTATGCAACAGAGAATTGTGAAAAAAAAACATGGTATTTTCTTCCAAAGGAACTTTCTCTTTCTCTGCTATGTACTTGTATAAATCGTTCTTTGCAGCTTCATTCTAGGTTTACCAGTCTCTTTCCCAAATACTCGGTTCGCTGGGGATTTTCCACCAACACACGTATATCCTAATTCATGTATTCCAGACATTCTGCAATGATTTTTCCCTAACAACCACTGAGTTTATATTAATGTATAAAAGACTAGTGCCGGGTCTTCTTGCACACACACATACTCATAGATATGCACAGATGTATTTAGAGGGTCTCCGTTTAAAAGAAAGTGATTTAATAATATTTTTCAGACACCATGACAGGTGATTTAACGAGATGGATTGACACAGTGGCTGCAACAATGGGCTTAAATGTAACAACGATTGTGAGGATGGCACAGGATCGGGCAGTGTTTTGTTCTGCTGTACACAGGGTCGCTATGAGTGAGAACCGACTCCACAGGACCTAACAACAGCACCATGATGGGATAAGAGAGGTAGTCTTTGAGGGCAGTTGAATATTGTACAGTTACCGTTGAGCTGACTGAATACCCAGTCCTTTGTCTGGCTATGGCACACATGTCATACTCCTTTTGGAAATACCACACGGCATACTTTCGTCTGCAGCATGCCAAAATGTCAGAGAAGACTCAGAGGTTTACTTGGGAAATATACAAGACAAGTTACATATTCTTATACAATTTCACCAACACCTGCGTCCTGGTGTTGTTTACCAGATACTCTTTTTCACTTCACTTCAGTAGTTGTGCCATTTTGGGTTATGAACTTAAGACAGGTATAATAGTACTTAAAAACCAAAATGGAAGAAGCTAGAACACAAATCTAGGTTTTAAAGAAAACCAGACTATTTACTTACAGTTTCTTAAAAAAAAAAAGGAAGAAAAGAAAAATAATAGAGAGCTGTTATTATGGCATGATATCACCAGAAAGCATTGAAAGTACTGGACTCTCTCAGGGAATTCTAGGTTTTGTTCTGTCCTAATTGGCTGTGTGAGTGAGGACAAATGATACAAACTCTTTCATCATAAGATTTCAACATTGGTAAAACACGAGGTCGTAATAAGTTATTTCTCAAATATCTTAAGTATCTGTTTTTCCATGATTCTATGTTAGAATTCAAAAACATCAGAACTTTCTGTATTACAATTTAAGATTCTACATTAGAATTTAAGACCTTAACAACTTTCTCCGCAAGTGAGGTAAATTGGCATGTGGCTACTAAGGCTGTGACAATGTTACCTTAGGCTGATTAGGCTGGGAGGTATGAAGAGGAGAGGAGTGATTAGGGCCAAAGGAGAGACTAAGAGAAGTCAAAAGACAAGTCAGCAGTCCAGGATGATACCAAGCATGTATTGGCCTGTGAAAGCATACACATGATATATGTGTGTACATATATTTGTGTGTGTGTGTGTGTGTGTATATGTATATATATATATATATACATATATGTATGTATATACAGACACATATAGGTGTATATATATATATATATACATTAGCAGTATTATAACATTCTCACATGTAGTCACACATATAATTACTGATCAGCATTTTAAAAATAATTGTAAAGCTGTAACAAAATAGAAGACATTTGGAAAATGATTATATGGATTTTAGCAGTAAATTATCACCGAAAAGATAACTAAAATTAATAAGAAAATAAGCTCAAGGAAAATATCTCCAAAGCTGAATGACCAACATCTACTCAAGACTTCTAATTTAGGTAATCTACATGAAAATATTTGCATGAAATACACAGAATTATGAAGGTTATTGTGTTGTTCTCCTGTGTGTATTTATATTTGAATGAAAGATTTACCTTTGAATCATGTTGCTTTGGGGATCTCTATTTTTGATTCTTCTAGTGTCATCAAATTTAATAGCTCCTTTTCAAATTATAATTATTCTAATGCATTTTTAGTACATTAGAATTATAAATACTTTAAACATAATGACCTTGTATGCTTTGTTATTTTTTTTTTTCATTTTGAATCAATATGAAAAGGTTTGCTATGAAATAACAGCATGTTTATTTTGAAGAGCTGAAATTCACTATTTCTTTCTAGGTAACTTACACTCTTACTTTTTTGGGTTCAGAATAAAGCAGGGCCATGAAAATAATCATAGCTTAAATGACCAAGTCTTCCTTTACAAAACTGAGCAATAAGGTTGCAACATTAGCACAACACATGGCTAAATTAGAGATCCCAAATGCCTGCACTGTGAGCTTCTACATAGTTGTTTGGGCTTTCTCGGATATTTATAAAACCAAAACTCATTGCCATCGAGTTGATTCTGACTCATTGTGACCCTACAGGACAGAGGAGAACTGCCCCATAGGGTTTCCAAGAAGTGGCTGGTGGACTCGAACTGCTGACGTTTGGGTTAGCATTCATAGCTCACTGTAACTCTTAACCACTGCGCAACCATGGCTATAATGTTTTTAAAGAGTGGATGCTGGATTTAACGATAGTTCTTGTGAAGGACAAATTGCTGAAATTTAATTTATGCTCTTGCTTTTAAGCCTTTTAACAGATTCCAAATATCTCACTTAACATACAAAGTATTATAACATTCTTTGTATATTTGACACCTGAAAACATATGTTCTCCTTCTCCCTCTTTTTTTTCTTCCTTTCTTCCCCTACCACCTCCTCCTCTTCCTTTCTGTCTTGTTCTCACTCTAGGTCCTCTTCTTTCTTCCTATCTTTATTTTACTTTAATGTTCTGCCTAAGCTGTTTATTAGTTCTATGTCTGCTGTGTTATAGGATGTTTGATTGAAAAATTGTATCATTGAATGGAATGTAGATACAATGCATTTATAACTGAATTTCTTAGAGATTCCAGAATTGCAACCTTAAACATGTATTTGTTTTTATGTAGGGATCATGTGTTAAAGAGAATTTTGAAGCATTTTTCCTTAAAGATGGGCATAAGGTGTAGGACGTAATAAGAATCAAGAATACTAATTGAATTAGTCAATTGAAGAATAGAAGACTGAAGAATAAGTTAACACAGATTGAAGAGCCCTTTTGTCATTGTTAGACGACATATAGTCGATTCCACCTCCTGGCGACACCATGCATGCAGAGTAAAACTGTTCTAGTGGTTAAGCACTGAACTGTTAACTGAAAGGTTGTTTCTTCAAACCTACCAGCCTCTCCGCAAGAGAAGGATGTGGCAGTTTGCTTCCATTAAGATTACAGTCTTGGAAACCCTATGGGGCAGTTCTACTCTGTTGTATAGGGTCACTATGAGTCATAGTCCACTAGATGGCAACAAGTTTGGCTTATAGGGTTTTCAAGGTGTTAACCTTTCAGAAGTAGATCACCAGGCCTGTCTTCTAAGGCACCTCTAGGTGGGTTCCAACTGCCAATCTTTTGACTAGTAGTTGATGGCTTCCATCCAGGGAGCCTTGAAGAACTGTATATATACGGTACTCTCAATCAACCACATACTTATCAGAGGATT